ATACGAAGTGAAATGAACAAAAATATAATTAAATGATACTGGGGCAAATGCAAAAGCATATCATTTTTCGATACAATCATGTGTTTCAAAACATAAATGGACCCTTCATTACATTGGTTTATGTAAAGTTTTCAAAAAATTACAAGTTCAAATAGTTACGAATATTATTTAAGGCATTTCCGAACAAACGTTTAAATAATAATTTATTACACGTTAAACTACGTGCACAAGAACAGTTAGATTTGTAATCCCGAAAATAGTACATTACATTATATGCATGTATTTACATAATTACTCCCTTTATTGAATTTAAGCAGTTAATATTTACATAATGTAAATAGTATATTGATCCCCATTTCTTGTTGATTTTTGTGTACAGTGTTTCATGTCTGTGCATCATTTTTCTTTTAAACAAAAAATATGTTTTACGCATTAAATTGCAATTATAAATTCGCAATTTAATTGTAATATTAGATATAAAATGTAAAATATTAATAGAAATGTAAATTTTCGATAAAATAAAATTTTATTTGTGTTTTCGTATAATACATGAATATTGATTGAAGTTAAATTATAATTACGATATTTTCATTTTCAATATCGAAAGGGAAAGAAAGAATATTTACCGTCTATTCGTAGAGCAATAAAAGTTAGTTCTTATGAAAATTAAGAAACTGTTATTAAATTTCATTTGTAGGTTTCTCCAAATATATGTGTCCAATATAGTAATCGGACGCAACTCTATAAGATTGCGGAAACCGTTTTGTCGATGATACTAAATGTTCTAAACCAGTTTTTATCACTGACAAACCTACTTCGCGGTACGTCTTATTCGAAGAGTCTGTGATACATTTGTTTGTCTCATATTTATATAATACTTTAACGATAGATACTTTTTGCAAAGTTATTATATCATTATTTAAAATTGCTTTAGGTTCTACCATTAAATTCAAATTCCAATCCATCGGTTTTAAGGTAAGGCAATGCGTGTCTTTATCCACAGAAGATTGTAAAACTATCTCCTCCCCAATAATACCAGTCATACTTTTTATAGCTATTAAAAAATCATTAAAAGGATTGGTTGCACTCTCTGTTAAGTTGTTCGGTAAACTGTAATCAATGGAATAACTCCATAGTTTAAGCGAATTATTCTTATCTACCTTTCCTAAATATTGTAGGCATCTGTTGCAGATGGCATTATTTCCATCTACTTTTAAACCGTCATTAAATACATTCAAATTGAAAATGAAGAAAAATGGCCCGTAAAAAATATCAGTCTCTGATGGCACCAAATCTTTTATAACAGCTTCCTGATTATGTTTACAACAAAACCATTCGCTTGGATCATAATCCAAGTCTGGAACAGGCAATACTCTTTCGACAAGCATTTCTTTGGAAAGATTAGATTTACAACACGCGCATAATATTTTGCAACAAGACATATTAAGTAACAAACTGTTTTCTAAATGATAATTATTCTTAGAATCATTTGGAAAATTTATCTTTGGCACTGAGTTATCGATCAATTCTGTTTGGAAAGATCCGAAAGCAGAATCAGATCCAATTTGTATACGAAAACAGATCCAATTATTTATTATACTTAACGCTGACAATGAATTTGGTATTAATCTCATAGACTTTACCAACAATTTTAATGTTTTATTTCCTATATATATTTCAATACTTTCTTCTAAAAGCTTTATTTTAATTAGCGCAGAGTTTACTTTTCTTTGCAAGCGAATAAAAGCATTGCATATCAGAAGTCTAGGTCTCAATTCCAATGTTATTAATTCTATCATATTAAAATATATTAAGGAAACAATATTTAATGTAAGGACTTAAGAGATGTTACTCTTAAAAGAAAATAAGATCACAAGAGTCCTAAAAAGAAATATCAAATTTAAATAACGAAAATAATATACTGAATTTGAATATATGTATCGATAAATAAACAAAGTATTTATACCTTTACCTTTGAAGCTGTGATTACATTCTATAAAATCATAAACGATTTAACACAGGGAATCGCATTAAAATTTTTGTTCCATGTATTCCCCAGTACTGATACAAAGTTTCCTAAAAATGATTTTTTAATAACAAAACAATTTTCAAGATTCGTGAAATTGAATAAAAATTTTATTAAAATAATTACATTTGTTCGAACGTTGAATCCTGTATTGCGACGGTTCTCTAAAATTCATTATATTTAAGTAATGTAACGAAGAGTGTTCTCACTTGAGTAGACCACGTGTGGTACTTTGACATGCGTATATTTGTAACGGCCAATTCAAACTAAATTGACGCAACGCGTTATACATGTACATGTGCAGTGCTTTCTTAATAAGAATACAAAAGAGATCCGATTTGAAATTCTCGTTTCACTAAATCCTCGTATAAGTAGGCATGGACTAGGTAGGACACTGTAAACACTAGACTAAAATACACGAAGAGTGTTTCACTTTATGATCGTACAAAGTATTTCTAAGCAGGTACCTAATCATTTCGCTCGAGTTAGATCTGTAACCCCTAATGATCATCGACAAAAATCAGGGTAGATTGGACATCCTACGGGGCTCCATATCCGATGGTCTGCAATACCGATCATGTAGAAAAACCGGACAATTGGTTACACCCTCTACGAATTAGGATGGTAACGTATTTTTCTGTTCACTGTTCTGACATACCGACACTGTCATAACATTCTAGCATACTCAGTTACAGAGCGGTCTGTAATTGAACTAAATACGACTGCAACATAAGAAGTGCCTTGGTAAGATAACTATTAGTGTTACCGACTTCAAAGGACACAATGTCGCCGGCCGCGTTCAGAGCGACATTTGATTCCTACAAAATCTACTCTAACAATCATGCATCACCAGTAAAAAAGGAGTCGATTGTTGCACACTTAGAATCACGACTAATCTTTTAATATTTCGCGGGTGAAATTGAGTGAAAGTTGATGAAATGCAGTTTGAAAATATTGCGTCGCAGGTACTTTGGCGCCCTTTTCTTTCCTTTGGTTTGGAATAGTGCTAACCAGTGTTGCCAGTGTTTATGAATGGTATATTTATGGAGTTACATTTAGATAAAGAAAACAAGTACGTATAATTATTATTTATTAATGTTCAATTGATAACATCGCCGATAAAATGGTAATATCAATGAAGCTACAGGGGGCTTGAGAATATTGGACCAGAAAATTAGCGTTAAAATTCAACATTAGCAGTTACCGGTACGATGTTTTCTTCGGTCCCTATTCCCCATACCCTTCGGTTATTAGCCAAACTTTACACGTAGGGAATTGTCTCGAGTGGAAAGACCCAAGAGGATAAATGTGAATAGAGTTCCACGAACTAAAGGACGCGTTTTCCATTCGAAATTTGATAAGGTTTCATAACAGCGATTCGACGTTCGAGACGTTCGAGACGTTCGAGACGTTCGAACACGGAAAGCTGATGAACGTGCAACGTGCAAGATACTTACAGAAGATACACAAGACAGTCATCTTGATCGTTAAACTATGGATTCTTATGGATTTATGGGGAATTTGAAAGCGCAATATTCGAAAAGACACACACGATACGACAAGTAAGTATAAAATATTATTTCCGCTACTTCTCTCGCCATCTCTAACCGATTCTCCAAGCCGAGCGAAATTCAGGATTCCGCAGGCCGATTCAAGATGCAGGAGAAACGTGCGGTCAAAACCGAGTTCTCACGGTGGGACAGGGAAAAAAGCGTGACCCGCCTACAAAGGTAAACGCGGGAATTGTAGACGTCCGGGGTTAATATATATCGTCGGTGGTCTCGTTTCGATCCCCGGTGAAAGAGTGCGCGGCGTCGGTTGCACAAAGCGCGTCAAATTCCACGAGACAAAGCTGCTAATTAGAGAAATTGCGGAAGCCGTCGTGTGTCTCGTCGATGGATTTTCATCGAGGAAATAATCGCGCTCCGCGGAAACCACAATCGCTGTTCAGCCACGTCGATTCGACCTGTCATCCCAGCGCGAACCGTGAAAAGCGCAGACAATAGGATTTCATTTCATGCGATCCTGCCGGTACGTTAACGATTCGTAGCAATGTTCCAAGGAAAATCTATTTTATTATTCGCTTAAGGTTCGTTTCCGGTCGGATTCGTGGAATTTCCAACTGTTCCAAAGTGTTCTCGTCCTTGCAGCTGCATCGCCGTGCGTTAGACTGGCAGGTAAATCGATGACTCGACGGATTAACCTGCCGATAGGACTATTCGTTAGGCAGACAGGTGTTGTATCCGATCGATCTCGCAACATCGAAAATACCAGGGTTCACCGGTCGACGGCAGGTCGGAGGTGAAAATCTGGTATGATTGAAAACTTGCTGGAAGTTTATTTCGACTCGTTATTCCAGGTTTCCGGCATCCGAGAACTTCAGGTTCGTCGTCGCCTTCGCGACGTGATTTTCGCGACTGCAAGGAAGCTGCGCCACTCCACTCTTTCGCCAACAGTGTTCGTCGGATAAAGTCGCCGAGATGAGCCGAGCAGGACGACCGATAGTCGACTTCTGACGTCGCTTCGCGCAACTTTATCCTTTGGACTTCCGTGCGGCGACCGATTTCCGAAGACCCTGATTGCGAGACTTCGTTCCGCAGGAGCAGTCTTTAACGCGATCAATCCGCAGGAAGTTTAGAGCGGTCGGTTCGCCGAGATGCTCGCGCGCGCGCGCGGGTCGACTCGGAAAGATAAGGTAACCGCGCGCGTTTTCTCGATTCGAGTTTCGTCTGTTTTCTTTGCGAACCGCGCGATTGCCAGTTCCGAAAACTTGTCTTGTTGCTCTCTCGAGTTCGCCCTCTACTCGCGTTTCAACGTTCATTACTGCGGAGAGGCGTGGAGGATTATCAGGGAAAACGATCGAAGCCTTTGCGAGAACCGAGCTTTCAAAAGATAACGTCTCATCTCGTAACCGTAATTAAATTTTAATTAGAAGGGTCGAGTTAGTGGAGTGCGAAATTGCCTTGAACATATATTTACACAGGTAAAATCGTTAAAATGCCACTCTCTCTCTCTCTCGCCGTCCCATTCGCCGTCCCATTCGCCGCTTCATTCGCCGCCCCATTCGCCGACTGCAATTCTTTGATCGTTTCGTCGTTCTCGCTTTCGATGTCATTTCCGGTGTCGGCCGTACCACCGGCTAACCAAATCGAATCGAACGAGCGAATAGATTTGACAATGAGAATTCCGCCGATCCATCGACGCGCACACGACCCGGCGTAAGTACGGGGAAACTCGAAAGATACGAGCGAGCGGAAAGAGGGACGACGATGGTATCTTCGGGGAAAAAGGAAAGAACCGAACAGAAAGTTGCTTTCGAAATCTCCAAGAAAACAAGTACACCGAAGAGAGATACAGCGCGAACACGCCGGAAGAAGAAAAAGAGCGTCTTACGACGCTTCCGCGTTTGTTCCGTCTCTGGCTTCGCGCCGAGTGGCCGTGCATCCTGGTTAATACCGTGCATACCGATAACGTTTCTATCGGGAAACTTAATTATCACCGTTTATACGCGTAAACACGCGACGAGCAGGAATGTGGACCGAACGATCGAGGAAACGAAATTGTTCGATTAAGTGGACGTATTCGTGTTACGGGGACAGATATCAAACGAATACGTATGCATCGTGCGATATTCGAGCGACGATAGATACCGTTACGCGCGTGCATAACGCTGGAAGCTGTACAATTGGCGGCGCGTCAACTGGAATGTTGATGCCCCGATACCGCGCCAACTGCTAACGATCGCTTTTCCACGGTGGAAATATTCCTGAACGAATAGCGGAGGTTTAACGGGGCTGTGGAGTCGGTCGAACGCCCAAGAATCGGAACTGCTGCACCGTAAAATTATATTCGCAGCCGGCCACGTCCTTTTCTCGGTCGCGATCGTTAAAAATTTGTTCGCGTCCCGCGTTAAATCCCGCGAAGACGACGAATGTTGCGTTCACTATTACGATTACGAACACGAGAGTCTCGTCGTCGGACAAACAACCGTTCCCGCGATCGCAGATTCGAATCTCTACGGAGATCCTCGGAACGTCCTCGCGTTCCTTCCGAAATCCTTCGAGACGCGTGTTTTCCTCCCATTTACGGCGAACTCTCGCTGCCTCCGCGAGCGATCTATGGGTCCAATCGAATTTCCGGTCACGTGGCACCGGCCCGGCAGGTCCGATTCAACGGACAAACTCGATTCGCTTCATCTACTTTGCCGGACTGGAATAAGGAGTTATTGGTATTGGTTCGCGTAGAATAACCGGAAGCGTATAAAACGTACATATCTGCGAGACGAGATATCTAATGCGGCCCACTCGAATAACTTACTTCTTTGTCGCTTCTAGCGATCCTCTTTCGAGGAGAATATATTCCGATGCCAATAGCTTTCTTCTGGCGCAGTCTGCACGATACAGCGATACTTCTTTGAGAACAACTCGAACGGTTTTAGTACTTTCTTAACGAAAATATTACTTTGTATTCCTTTTTCTCGACTATCGACCGGCGGCGAATCCGTTCTCCGAACGGAAGGGTAGAAACCTTTGTAGTCGGCTAATCGTTCAACGACCAGGGGAATTAGCTTTTTGTTTCGGAAGAAAAGATCGAAGCGGAAAGTGGCCGAACATGCTCGGAATCGTAAGAGGATTCTCGATTCTGTGCATTTTCGGTGCATCCGTAACGCGGCATGCACCGGGTGTCGAGATAGTTTACCGTAGCGAAGTGCTCCTTCGGCTAGAATAACGTTTTCAGAGTTCTCGTCGAGTTTTCTTTCGGTCAAGGGTGGTGGTCCAACGATAGACCGTTTCCGCGACGTATTCGACGATAAGGGGTTCTGTACGTCTCGCGCCTAAGAAGTCGCTGACAGCGACAAGCTTTGAGGTTTTCTTTCACGGGCGGACCGACAAAAGGCTCGATCCTTCTTTGCGCGGACAATTTTCCTCCCGATTGCTTCAGAAACGAATACTACGAACGAACACGCGTCGCCTACAGAAAAGAGAAACGGGGCATAACCGAATACGGACGAACACGCATCCGGTTTTCGGCGAACCTCGTTTTTTCTTTACGATACACCGCTATCGATGCCGCGATTCGCACAGTCCAACGAGTTTCACTCGATCGTACGATCCGAGCGCAGAATCGGAGAAAATCTGCCAACGATGCAGACCCTCGCAGCATTTTCCATCGAAAGGTTTCCTTGCAGGAAACGTTCGTGCCGGCTACCGGACACGAGTGATTCTCTCGTAGCTTCGACAGCCCCTCGAACGATTACATCGTTCCGCCGTGAGTAACGCGAGCTAACCTTTCGACGGACATTCTATTCGACAAGGACGGCCACTGGTTATTGCACATAAATTGATCGGTACCATTCATTTCCTGTAGGTTTTCGGTCTGGCCAAAAATTTCAATCGTTTCGTGCACTTGGCTTTCAGCGCTGTCGGCGAGACGGTGAACGCGTCCTCCCTGAGATCAGTTTCCATCCCTGCAGGTCGCTCCGCCGGTTTCGCCAGAATCACCATCCTCGGGGTGGCTAGAAACATTCGAAGCCCTTCTGTCTATCGCGAGATCTTCCGCTGATTCCATTACGAAAAGATGCACACGGATTACCCGAAGGAAGCGTTTCTGGCTGAAAATCCCTACTGCGAGTTTATTTGAAAAAATAAATAAAATAATGGTTATCCGTTAGATTCGCGGCTGTTTCTGCTAGCGGTTCGAACAGTCGCGATGCTTGTTTACTCGGAGGAACCTCGGCCGCGACGCGGAGTCGTGAAATTCTCGAATCCGATAAGTGGAAAGTTCGAGCAAAGAAGAGCACGGAAGAGGCTTGGGATTTGGGGCTCGGGATTTGGGGCTTGGGATTTGGGGCTTGGGATTTGGCACTCGGGGGGCTCTAGTGTCCGCTCACCTTTGGCAGCGAGCGCGGCCGGAGACACGGCGCCTGGAATTCGAGGAGGCAGACTCGTCGGCCGAGTCCTCGGGAGCGCGATCCTCGACAATCGGTCGGTGATCTTGTAGGCGAGAGCCGATGCCGGCACCGCGAAGGGATCCCTGAGCTCCGGCAGCTCCCTGCTCACCGGCGTCGACAACTCCTCCATCCTCTGCGCGTTCACCGGCTTCCATTTCCTCTTTTTGCCCTGGAATTCGCGGCTGGTGTGTGTATCGATCGTCGCGTATGAAAAGACAAACTTCCGTATCGGCTCGCGTCGCTCACGTCCCGAGGAACGTTCGCTTTTCCACCTACGAAAAGTTTCGGTTTCGCCGGCGTTTTCGGCCTCGACAGCCTTTCCAGCAGCTTCGCGTGTTGCTCCCATTCGTCGGGCTTGAAAGCTCTGCGCAGCTTCGCCATGATTCTCTGTCTGCGAACGAACGTTCGTGGCTCGGTGAAGGACGATCGGATGTGTTCGCGCGGAATCGAACTCGTTATCCGGGCCGAGCTCGTTATAGTTTCTCGAAATAAAGTGGAAGCGAACAAACGGGACGCGAACCGTGTGCGAGACCGCGAGAACCCTCCAGCGGCAAGGAACTCGAGCCTGTTCCGCGGCTGTAGGCGGAGACCCTTGGCCTCTATTAATAATTACATCCAGGACACTCGTGTTTCCCAACTATTCGCGAGTTGCTCGGAAACTTTAACGCGAACGTTCCGTATCTGTTCTAATTGTCGCGGAAATCGAAAATCGATACCGAGGTATCGTCGGGCCGCGGAGAATCATTCTAATCGGCTCCGAAAGCGTTTATCGGCGCACGGGAACGTTCGGCGAGCCGCGAGCCAGCCGAGCGGAGAAGCGCGTGCGAAAATGAGACCGTTGCCCGGCGATATCGAAATCCGACTTTACGAGATTGCGCTCGCGAGTGCGAAACTTTCGCTCGGTCTTTTCCACACTTTTCTCGAAAGCAATGTTTTTTCCCCCATTTATCGTGCTCGTCTCCTCGACTCCTCGCGTCAACTGTTCACACTGGTCGGTAAAAATCATTCGCTCACTTCTTCCTCGCTTCTCGTTGCAGCCTGGCGTTGCAGAAGTACCGATACCTTCGGTACCGCGAGTTCTGAACCTTCCACAGAGTCTCGACGATGTTACCGCTGGTCTGGAATCGCATGTTCGCCAACAGCAATCTGACCGGAGAAGGAGAAATTCGTCAAGTTCGCGGATAAGATCCGCGTAACGGAATAGGAAGGATAGCGACCTCTTCCTCGGAAGCGCAAGATCCAGAATGCGTTTGCTGGTTTTAGCCTCGAGAGTTTTCGGATGGATTCGCGGGTACGCCGGTGGCGGTGTTCTGCGCGGAAACCAAACCGATTTCTAGTCGAGAGCGGCCCACCGGTTCGGATTACTCGATAGAACTGTAAATCCTCGATACTCACTCGGGATCGTATTTCTTGTTGACGCGCTTTGGCCGAGCCATGACTTTGATGCGCTTCGAGGCGCGTGCTCTCAACGCTGCTCGCCGGGTCGTAAACGGATTTCTCTGATGAAATGAAAACGCGAGAGCGCACGGCGGATTAATTAGCCTTTGGGAAACGGAGGATCACGGTCGCGCGCGGATCGCTCACCAGAACGTTCGTGTTCGTCCTTTGAATTCTTCTCCAGTTCGGTCGAGCCAGCAACGAAGCGTATTGTTTACGCGACAGATGCGCCATGGCGTATTTAATCCTCTTGGATAATTCGTTCGCCATTTCTCGTACGCTCGTTCCCGCGAAGAGTTTTCCCTCGAACCGTCTCGCGCTCACCTGTGTTTCTCGGACGTTCCTCTTTCGGAAGCACGTTGCGAGTTAACCTTTCGTTCGCCTCGAATCTAACTGATTCGAGAAACGTGATGGAAGAACGCGAAGGGTAGGAGGAAACCTCGAGGAATCGGGTCAACGGAACAATTTACACGCGCGAAGCTTTCGTCCGCGTCCAACCGTTAATTTCGATGCGGCGATATCAACGGATGCCGCTTTGGAAATCGACCGACGTTACGCGACGGGCAAACGAAACGAAACGAAACGAAACGAAACGAAACGTAACGAAACGGAACGAAACAAGAAAGAAACGAAATGTCTCGTTGTTCGACTATCGGTTTCCTCGAGCGACCTATAGGCCAGGTTGGAATACTTTATTATATCGTTCGAATTGTTCCGAAGCATATTCTATTCGCAGAGCGAAAGCGCGGCTCCGAATGAAATTTTGTCGACGAAACCGATTGCGGGGTCGTTTCACGGATCGAGTGTCGGCACGTCGAACTGCCGGAAATAGGACGAAGCGACGGCAGATGTAATTTCGTGGCCGATTCGGACTGGCGGCATTACACACTCGAAATCCCTCCCGATGAAGATCTCTCGAGGGACATCCGACTCGGCGACGCTGCTACGCTGCTACGCTGCTACGCTGCTACGCGCGACGCGGCGGCGCGGCGTCGTTTTAATCCATCCGTCGACGAGGCCGAACCACTCGCCGGATTTTCTCTTTTCCGTCCGCCGTTTCCGCCCTTGCTCGATCGTGTTCCGGTGTTCCGTCGCCACCTTTTTCCCCCCCTTTCGTTCCCACCTCGTCCCTCCGCGGCGTTTCCACGTTCCACCGCCGGGCCCGCATGGGAAATCTCGAATACGAGATCTGTTTATCCGTCACTCGAAATCCCACTGGATGTCGATGATAAGATTTTACCGCGACTCCACCCTTCACCGGCTCTCCCGTGAACCGGCTCCTCTTCTCTCGTTCCCTTCCCGCTACCTTCGGTCAACCGTTCTCCAAGATTTCATCGAAACGCGCGAATGAAACGGCGATCACCGCCCATCGATCTATTCTCCGATACACGCGAATGCCATTTCGTTTCTATGCTATACCTACGCTCGAGTCTGAGGAATACGCCTTTGGTTCATCCATCGTATGCAATTTTGCTCTTCTACGCGTAAGTGGAAACGACCATATAAGTACACATGTATGTACGTGTATCATTAGAGTATCCCAAAACTGTCAACGCGATTCAGTTTCTGAAAATGTTGTCACGCGAGCGCTACGAAGCGGAACGGCGAGCGCACCGCACTGTCAAATTACGAGCAATCGATATCATTCGCGTCCCGCAACGTCCTCGTTGTCGGCATTTCCTCGTGCAGTCGGTGCGTAGGAAAAACCGCGATGCACAGGAGCCATTGCCAAGAAACCATGATAAACGAGTTTATCGCGTCGCGCCGCAAAGCCGGTTGAGTTGGGGCAAACACTCGAATCGCTAATCGGTGAACGCTCGAGGCTCGGCGCTCGCCGATTCGACGGCAGATAGTCTCGAGCACCCTGTATTAAATTAATATTCATTGCCCCGGATCTGGAGCAAACGCTTCCCCCACTCTCTTTCATTTCGCGCGGCAGTCTTGACTCGACGAATACCAGCTACCGGAATCTACGAAAGACCGAGAACCGTTCAACCGCCATTTTCCCGAAGAAATGAGTTTTGCTGCAATTATCGTCGATTTTACAGCCGCCGATGGCGACAACGCATCGAAGACAATGTTTCGAGCGCCTTTAGGCGTCGATATCAGCCAAGGAGTCAACGGCCGAGTAATCGATCGATTAATTACTACAGGAAAAGATGGATGTTCGACGGAGTGGATCGGTATCGGCAGGTTTTACGCGGTGATCGCGGAATAATGATCCATTTCGGGTACGGTTCTCGAGCATAGCTGCCGGGTTTAGGCAACGGTGAAAGGGCAATGACGCGAAGGTAAAGGGGAAGCAGCCGGATGAAAGCACAGTGAGGCAGCGTGTACCGGATAATGAAACCGGCTGCCAAAGGTTCCTTTCAAAAACCGGATTAATTCATCGTTATTGCGATGATACAACAAACTGCCGGCATCATAACAGCAACAACAGCGGCTCGCGAGCCGCGCGCGATCTAACGAAACGGAAACGAGGGTGATTCGCGAAAAACGTTTCCCTTCCACGGTTCCATGTTCTTATCCATTAACGCCGCGGCATGCTCGAAACCTCGTTACTCGCTCGCTGGGTCTCGTGGGGTCGAGCCGGAGTCGGCCTCTACATTTTTCTGTCATTTATTCCGGCAGTCGTTATTGTCGGAGCTTTATGATTCTTCGAGTCGTCTCGCGACGTTCGATATCGCAACACTTCGAGCCAAGTTTTTCCTCCGATCAAGTTGAAATTGAATCTCCGCGTAAAAAGGGAGCAGCATCTTGCCGAGGAACACCGAGAACTCGCGTGCTCCGGCCGATAACGGCAAGTTCTGATTTTCTTCAGAAAATAAAGACAAACGACGGCGTTCCGTGCGAAACGAATCGAAACGAATCGAATCGAATCGAAAGCGGAAAGGTTGCGGCGTGTAGCGTTGTTCGCCGTTCTCGCGTATCGTCTCGAGAGTCTATTTTTCCCGGTTAAAAGGACAGCGCAGCGGAAACCTGGGAAACAGAGCGATGCTTATGTTTCAAAGTTGCAACGCAAACGAAACTACGCGCAGGGTCGGCTGAGTTCCGCGAAGTTTCCATCGAAAAGGTCACAACCGTTCGCCATCGTCCGCCACTCTCGTTCACGGTTTTACGCGTATCAAGAAAACGAACGAAAGCCAACCGAAAGCGAAGGTGAGAAAAAAGTTGTTCGGAAAACGCGAATTCAACGAATCGACGAACCGCATCGAGTCGAGTTGGAAAATTACGCGGTTCGTAAACTTCTCCGCTAAACGCATACGGAATATTAAATTCGCCGGAAAAGTCGAAATCGCGCCGCGCGAGGCGTGCTGACGCGACTATGTAGCGGCGTTAATGAAATCCTGCTATACTTACGTACGTACATATGTATGGAATAAGCTTTTTCTCTCGGCACCGATGCAAACCGGTGTGCCTGCCTGCGGTATCTCGTATATAAGAAATTTCCTCATTTTCCTTCGGTAGCGAAGAGCACCGATCAACGGGTCGAAACGATCGTTCAAGTGGTTTCCCGACGTTACTATTATATCGTCGGGCGATACTGTTGTGTTTTTCACGGTCGATCGACTCGACGATAGAAATTACGTGTGGCATCTTGACCCGACGTGGCGCGGCTGCCACTCGATGGGTGGCTTTCAAGGCGAATAACGACGCGGTCGAGCCACGAGGGAGGACGAGGAGGTAAACAGTACGTCCGACCGCTGCTCGCAGCGCACCATTCAACTTTTCTATACCGACAAAGTTTAATTATCCGATTACAGCGGGAAAAGGTTTTTCCCGGGCGAGGAACAGCGGACGCGGAGCCCGCTCCGTTTCCGTGGAAATTCCGTTTCGGGTTGCACGGCGAACCGCGCGTCACGGATCATTTCCATGGAAATGAGGATCGGCATTGATTTTACGTCGAACCCGGCAACACGAGCTGCCCGGTGATAGATTGCTACCCGGAACGTCGATCAACTTTTCTTCGAAAAAAGCTGGGATCGTTGATAGTTTCGCGAACGATCTTTCGAACTCGACGGAAATCAACGCGGAAACTCTTGGCGAACGCGTAACCACCCTGTATACTTCGCGCGTCGAAACGCTCGCCACTTTTCTCGCAGAAGCTCGCGTCGAAATATCTACGCGACCGAATTGCCGACGTATATAGAACTTAGTGGATGCGACTTTTTCCCGGCTTCCGATAACGGAAGCACCGATCGATAAACACAAGCTCTCCGACGCTCGAGGATGATATTATCGTATAGAAAATAAGAATGTCGCTCGCTAAGAAATATTAACCCTCGACGGAGTGAAAAATTGTTCGGTTAGTTTGATCGCTGTTATTCTTGTGATATTTCCAATGAAACAGGTCACTTGTGAATTTCTTTCTTGTTAGCTAGGTATTACGGTATTTTCTGACGGCAAGTAAACTCGAAACGCTTCCGGCCCGTCGAGGGTTAATACTCCGCGGCCGCTCGATAGACGAAAAGCATTCTTCTTCCGGAGGGACAACATTCTGGGATACGAACGAAACCGTTGAGCATGTATTTCATCCACCGCGCCGAATTTCTTCTCGCGTAAATCTCGCGGAGTGATTGGAACAGGCGGAAATCGATGTTGTACTCGTCGGAGCATTCGTGTACGGAGGCTCGCAGGAAATGGAATTGTAGGTCTGCCGGTTGCGGGGAATTCTACTCGTAATACAGGCCGAATACGCAACACCAGGCGTATATGTGGTTGTTTTCGAAAACGTAGTAAGAGTAATTGTCGCGCTCCAAGTCCCAGAGGCACTGAAAGCTCGCGTGAATGCATTGATCGAGGCGTTGGACGATGCTCACCTGCGCCACTATTTTGTACCTTGTAACAACGAACTTTGGGATTATTATGCGGAACGCGCGGCTCGACGTGTTTCGAGGTAAACGCTCCGAAGACGCGAACGCTCGGCAACTACCGAACGAAACGAAACGAAACGGAACGACGAGGCCGGATTAGCCTCTACAATTAGACCGTTAATTAAGTTCCGCGGATCGCTGTTCTCCGGGTACTTTAGAACCGACCAACTTTCCGATGAAATAAAAGAATCCGCGAAACTCGGTTAACTCGATACTTTGTAGATCGAGATTTACTGTCGGCACCTGTCGTAATCCTTCTTGCTGATCGCCCTCTGCAAGTCGGCTCCTATGTCCAAGCACAGTCTCGCCGATTGAATCGGATCGTACGTCGTCACCGCGCACAATTTGTTCTCCATCGTTTCCATGAGCAGCTCGTCGACGGCCTGCACGTTAAAGCTGCGGAACGATTCGAGTCGGTAGGTGTTTTGGTACTTGGGGATCTGCGCGTGTTTCACGAAGACGATTAATCGTCACGGTTCTCCTCTACGCGAATCGTCTCGAGGTTCGCGTACTTTCAACCGGTCCCCTCGTTTGTGGAAAAACATGCGACTCCCCAGAGATCCGAGTATCGATGCCTTGGAGAGTAATCGCTTCCTGCTCTGAAACGAGATCACCGGTTGTCGGTCAGCCACGATTCTTTCACGAAATTCTCCTTGTCCCGAACAATTACCGCTCGATCCACCGATGAACTTCTTCCCAGGGATTTCTCAGTTTCGCGCAACATGCTGCACCGGTTTTCTAAGCCGCTCGCGCTTTGCCGAATCGGTACGGTCTGTAACGCGACCAATCGACGACTCTTTATCCCGATCGTTTCCAGCGCGATCGTCGGTCGTGCATTTCCGTTCGAAGACTCGATAACTCGAACCGACCCGTACGCGTATACGTTCGTGTTTCACATTTCAAAATGTAACCACGTTCGCTTGTTCTCGAAATTTCTCGGCGACAGAAATAAAGGTTCTGATCAAAACTACACTCCGTTTGCCAACCGATTCGTTTATTTCCAAAGAGTAGAGAACAAACTTACTAGAAGAAAAATACCTATAGTCTACACCGTCGAGATAGCGAACTCGTTCGAGCTCGTTGAAATCTGTCAGAAGAAACTTACCCATTGAATCTAGTCGCGTAACGAGTCCAGCCGAGCTCCCGTTGTTCGCCGACCCTACGAGCGCCGCTGTTGCATTCATGCGGCCGACTTGAAATTCGAATAATGAGCTCCGCTGGGTATCCCGTTTCAAATGTCCGCTTTCTCGAACAACAAGGAAAAAGTTTGTCCGTCCCCGACCCAGGCGTAGGTGGAATCTTCGACTGGTTTGATCGTTGCGCCGCGATGCGCGGACGATGCACGGACGATGCACGTGTTGGGTACTAGCTAGGTCTAAGGTCGGCTGTCCTTGGGAATTTCGAGGAATTCGCACAGTAAACTTGTACTTGGTAGTTTAACAAAACTATGTATGCCTATAATTGTCGATTTCTGTTGGATTCGTTGCACTGTTACATCGCTTTCCATTTTCCGTCTTTTTCATTTTTCTTCGCAGTCGTTCGACCGCGCGGCGGTTCCCTTTACAAGAAACGAAGAAACTTGGGAATATTCGTTTCTCTCGAGACGAGAGGTTCGAAGGATTACAAGGGGCGAGATTTAAACGCTTCTCACGGTTCTCGAAAGATCCGACATTTCCTTAGAGCGGCTCTTGAAATCGGTAAAATCCATTCCCGTGTCCCGACCGCGCGTAATCATATTAAACGGATTTACTTTCGAGAAGAATCTTCGAGCGTGCCGTTAATCCTTCGAGAAGACGTTGCTGCTCGAAGCTCTAAGCTTCGAAGAGGACAACCGTTGCATCGTCGCCAACGTTCATCCAATTTT